ATAGTTGAAGGATGTCATATGAATGAAACTGTCTGTCCATTGGACAATGTCGACAACGACTATGATGGTGAATACGAAAAATACGCATTAATGCAAAGCACAGGGGAAAAAATGGTATCTCTCTTGTATTTAAACATTGAATAAAAGCATGCCAACTTTTATTACAGCAAATCTGTTTTATTCTTGTCATTTAGCTGCTGATAAATGGATCTCAAATTCCATTTGACCGAATTCTCTGTGGGTATTTTGTTTGTCTACATATACCTGTGAAATAGTACAAAAAGCATCTTTTCGAAAAATCGAGAAAAATCTGTGTTTGGTTCTGTATAATAATACGTTTTGCATTTCAGTCACTACCGTTGAAGAAAACAACAGATTCTTCAAAAAAAAAAAAAATTATACACTGAAGATATGCAAAATCGTTCCAACATCCAACACCGACTTTTGATCACGATTCGACTATCATCTGTTTGTAACTTAAAACCAAAACCACACATTGTACATTTATTAATGGTGAAAATGAAATGAAAAAAAGAAAGCAACTGTTTTTAGTGAGAAAACCAGAGAAGAATCGAAGGCATAACGGAAGTTTCTGTAATACATTTTACACATTTTTGAACGAAATGCGGCCAAAAATGAAGAGTATCAAGAAGTAGTGTGTGTGTATGTATAACATTGAGAGAGTCTTCTATCATGCTGTTACGCCATTGCTTTTTACAATCATCTAAAATGGCAAACGAAGCTGTTAAATCACTTTGCCAACACGATTTTCAATCACATATAAATACACAGAGTAAATTTTCCACGCGGAAAAAGCGCAGTAAAATGTAGTAACAAACATCAATACAGGCATAAAAACGGCATGTAATGACACAAACGATGAAATAAGTAAAAGCAAAATTTTTGTTATTTTACAATGTGACAATGTCAATATTTAATATCCGCTGTGAAGACCGGGGCCTGTCGTTGAGATAAGACGACTGTGCTTATGGTAGTTTCTTTTGTTCCATCAAAAATAGCAAACAACTCCAAAAATAAAAATGTGCTCAAAGAAATGAGAGAGAGGGAGAGAGAGAGCCTATACAAGGTGGGCGAAATATGAAGAAGGTACAAGTAACAACACCATCAAGAAATGAATCATTTCACACGATGTATAAATCGCAATTTTAAGTAATACATGTTTGTTGGTAAACATTCTTTCGCGTGAAATGTTCCATACAAATAACCGAAAAAAAAAGATTTGAGCAGGCAGTATAAAAATGGGATAGTGAGAGTGAAAAAGAAATCCACATAAAAGGCAAAAGTGAAAAATTCAAATGTAACATAACAAAATTCCATTTTCATTGAAGAGCAGGAATTTGAAAAGAAAAAAATTGCGCGTGGTTTGTCTGGATCTTTATTGTGCACGAAGTTTTTCTTCTCTCTTTTTTTCTTGCTACTATGGAACTTTCTTTGATATCTACTTTGCTCCATGTGCTACTCTTCGCACTCTATACACTTCGTGGTATGGCACGTATATGACATGAGCGCAATTGTTTTTATTTCTTGAAAACACTTGCTCACTTTTGCAGACACTTTCTGTACTATGTACGTTGTTATTATTTTCCCTTTCGTTTCGTTAAACATCAAACATATTTTGCACATATTTTGTCTTTTTAGTCGTGAATATTCTTTTCTTCTTGTATACACATTTTTGGCTTCTTTGTGCGTATGTGAACATGTTTGTTTGATTTTAAAATGGCTTTGTTTTATTTTTTGTGTGTGTCTCTTTTTAGGTAACACTGTACGCAACATAATAAATTGTTGATTGTTTTAGTATGCTGTGGCCTTTATGGGAGGTATACAAAAAATAACCGACGCCAAAGGATGCCGTAAATGTGTGAATGAAAAAAATGTCATGAAAATCGGTGAAACATCCACATTATATATATGGTATGGGTGAAATCTTTTCTGTCTCTCAGTGTGTTTCTCGTTCTCTGTATTGCGATAATTCCAACCGAGAAAGTACCGCGAGAAGAATAACCCAATGAAAGAAACATTGTCGATGACACCAACCCGAAGCACATAGGTAACAAATTTATTTCATTCTTTATGACATGAATTATTTATAATATGCGAAATTTACATGCATATATATTTAAAAAAAAAGAGTAAACGCAAGAACTAACTACTACAAAGAAGAAAAACAAAACGCACAAAAGCTGCGATTGCGATAAATCTGTGCATAGACCGCATTGTGTTCTTTAGACTGTGCAAATCGAATCGAAAGAAAAGCTTTTTTTTCGATGGAATTTTCGCCATACCTTATACACTCTTTTGCGCGCGCTTAACAACGATACTGATAAAGTCAAGCACATTTTCAATGACTTCGAGCGATTGTATGTAGCTGTATCGTTATTATTGCTGCTTATCTACGATGGCATAAAATAAAATCAAGTGCGAACGCGTTTAACTCGATCTTTCTCACCGTTGTAATTGCGCGTGCAGAAAAAAAAACGAGATCGCATCTTCTGCATTTAGTTTGTTCGACACGTGTTCGCATAACAATCATTCGCATTTTTGTCTCTACTCACACCTGTTTTTCATTGCATGTGATTTATTGCATTATTTAGCCGAGAAGGATTGTCATTCAAGGATTTCGCACAATTTATTTTTTATTCCTACGCAATCTGAAATAAATCACACAATTTTTAGAGGGAGCTCAAACTTTATACAAAATGCAATTTCATCAAGCGCCAAAAACTCGTTGCAAAATTAAAGAGCGAACTTTAACTCTCTGCCTCTCTACAAAAAATGTGGTTTTTTTTTTCTTTTCAATAAAAATGAAGTAGACATTCATTGTATTTTCACATTTTATGTTCGGCTGCATTTTAATTTATTAAGTCCACTGTTTTATTCATGAGTTCATTTGCCTTTTCAACACATTTTTATTTACGTTTAAGACGATCAAATGAAAAAATGAGGTACCATTTTTTTTTGTTGCATCATTCAAAAACAACATAGTGACCAAAACTTTCTTATCAAAAAATGAAGTGCGCATTTCTTTTCTCTTTTTTTTGCAGCACATCCGAAGGGATTAGCGAAAATTATTTTTCATGTGCAAATAGTAAACAAGACGCTCTCGAAGAAAATTAATGAAAAAAGAGCAGCATTGGAGAGGAAAAAAAGTGATGGAAAAATAAACACCGAAGTTTTCAGCGATTGAAATTTCCATAAAAAATAATGAAAAAGAATAATGAAAACGAAAAACGGTAGACGTTGAAAATTCAACATTTAACAACAATGGTTTCTTTCGTCACAATCAAACTATACAAATGAAGAGTTTTAGCACAAAAGGAAGAGAGGGGAGGAGAGAAAGCGAAAAAAAAAAAATCGAAAAATGAGGCGAAGAAATAAAGAACAAAATAAAAAAAATGTGCATATATAACATTTAAGGAAAAAATTGTTAGCGGAGGAAAATGTTATGAAATATTGAAAATTATATAAGACAGAAAAATTGAAAAGAATTGGAGATCAGTACATTAAAATAAAATATTCAACGGTGACAATGATATGCTAAGCATTTTTTTTTTACGTTTTCATCCAGTGATTATGGAGTTATGTGTGCGCTTGGTACATAGCACTTTCGGGCAGATCGAGACAGAAATATGTGAGATTGAAGTTTTTTGTGACGTAGAGAGTTATTGCTGTCATTTGAAACAAATAGAACAATAGACAAACCTTTCTAAGCTCTCCATCTCACACTCACTTACTCTCACTCATCCTTCTCTGATATTATATTAAATCGCAGGTATCGTGGTCGAATAATTGCATCGATTATAAGTTAAGTCAGAGCATGAATATGTCACTCACGAAGAGCGCGCTCCTAGCTAAGAATGTGTTAGTGTGACTAACATTGTTTTATTAGTGTGTGATGTATACCAATACGAACTCAGGAGCGGCTCCTGACAAGTACACCACGTTCTTCTGAGGCGCTGCACTCGCTAAGCAGGCGCGTTCTTCACAAGTGCGATTTCATAATCTGAGTTAAGTTTCAAATCATCTGCAAAAAAATATAACCTTCACACATTTACACATCATCAATGTTGGAATTTAATTTCTTTTTGGTGTTGGATTTTTCATGGCATGAAAGTTCATATGAAGCTATCTTTATCCTCTTATAAGTAATTCAATCGAATTTAATTCAAAAGTTTATCTGTGTGTGACTCACACTCTGTGAGTGGGATTATCTATCTTAAAAAGGAAATGGCGATAAAATGATTGCATATATATATATTTCGATACCAAAGAATATGGTGTTGGCAAGATTAATGGACTCAAGACCTACGCAAAAATGGCACGAATGAAAGAAAAATCGAAAATTATTAATGTGTATAAAAATTGATAGGAACAGAGATAGCGGAAAATCCAACATCATCGGATGCAGACCGAAACATTCTCTGAAAAATTCCAAATGGCAAAATTCAAACGAAAAAAAAAAATCAGCGTAAAATGGACCAGGGTGAAATGACATTTTACTATTTTTAACATTCCGTTTATTCTGTTCAATATCTCTGAGCATGGGTCATTGTTAGCAGTGTGTGTGGGGTGTGGGCGCTGATCTAAGGAAGTAATAGAAAATTGTATCAACTAAATGGGACGTGACTTTAAACTTGGACGAATATCAAAATCACTTGAATATACATTTGGATCAATTCCAATTTTCCCAATCGTATCGTTTTATTGAAATTATGTGGCTTGATGTGTGTGTGTGTGTGTGTGTGAATATGTTGCTGTATTTGAAATTGCTTTTGATTAAATTGAGGAATGAGATTTTAAATGCCAGCCGGAAAACTGATAAAAGCATATAAATGGTGTGTAAAACCTGTGTGGGAGCCCCTGTGTCTATCTGAATTTTATGTCATAGAGATTTGCAACAGCATAACCCATCGACAAAAGTTTAAAGTAATTAGAAATCAATTATGTACTTTCCCTTTCCCGCAATTTAAATATTCACTTACCTCAATTGCTCCAATTGGGCTTGAAAATCGGCTTTAAAGAGATCTTTTGCTGTTTTTCGAACGGCTGCTTTTAATTCATGTTGAAAGCGTTTGGTCATCTGTTGGGTAAGCATACGCATTTGATCCTTTAACGATAGTTGATCATCAATTTCGATCGATAGAAAATCACTTGACTCATCATCATCTGCCGTATCATCGTCATTGAATGCATTCATTTTAATGGCATCGTTGGCTTTATTCGGTGAATAGGCATCATTACCATTTTGGTTATTCGCATTAAAGTCATCATTGTCATTTATTTGCTTTTTATGAGTTTTTACCGCTGCTGCAAAGCCAATATCTTGGTTGCCATCACCGTCGCGCAATATGCCATTTCCGTTGAAATTCGTTTTGCTGCTGCTTGTATGACTACTACTACTACTGATGCTGCCGCTGCTGATGCTGCCGCTGATGATTCGATTTGATGCACTAATTACAGTCGTTGTCAAACATCCGACTACAATTAAAGTTATACAGCAGATCATTTCTTTGGTATGGATTTTTGATGACAACATTTTTACTAAATTTCCGCTCAATTCGTACTACTCTCAAATGAAAATTCAATTATTGAGCTGAGTGTGTTGGTGTTAACTCTGTTCTTCTTGAAACAATTCTTCGGTTATTCTCAAACTAATTATTTAAATTTGTTCTCTATGTTTTTTAGCACTGGCGAGCGCTTGCATTAAAAACAGTTTAAATTCTTTAATTTAATTATGCTCAATATTTTCCTAGGCGTTTTGCAAAGGATATTCGTTTGTATTCGTTTTTATTGTCGGGGAAGTTTCTTTTTTTGTACGTTTCTTTGCTATGACAATATGCGAATTGAAAATTACACACTCACAATTAAATCGCTTATGATCGTGCGTTAACATAAAACGTTTGTAATTCAACACTACTATATACTAGCTAAATATCGTTTGAGCATACAATTGCGAATAAAAGGTAATTTCTTTATTTGGTCCACTTTTCAACATTGAGACCATTGATTAAATTTCTTTGGCCAGCGCAATAACATTTAACAACTACCCATGCAATTTGATCACAAACTCCATGTAATTTACTATTCAAACAAAAGAGCGTGTCATCGATGCTTAGTTGTTGGTGTTTTAGGTCTTTGTCGTTGCGATTGTTTGTCTTGTTCGAATGGACTTTTGCAAGAAGGTTTCACGTCTGTACAAATCCGATTATGTAATGTGCGCACATGTAATCGCGTAAACAAAACGAAATTACAGAAATAATATCAAGTGCTATGAAGATTGTAGAAGAGAGAATAATATGTGTAAGCTTCAACCGCGTTTTGCTTCAGAGATCTCTTTGGCTCTTCTCAGTTTCTTTTCGTTTCTTTCTTTTGAAATTGTATATTTTGTGTCTTTTATTCAATCTCTTCCTTGTTTTTTGTGTTTATTTATTCGGCAATATTCAGTTCACTACTGTTCACTTCTTGGCCAAATGAAAAAAAAAACAAAACGAAAACAAAAATAGAAACGAACGTGCAACAACGAAATTGCTCGTTATGAATGAAGTGAATAAAATTGATGAGTTTGATGATTGTTTGCTTTTATGGCCCGCAAAATGGTTATCAAAATACGAATTGTTTCTTTGCAATTTGTTTCATTCGCACGAAGCATGAACATTTACAATTCACCCAAATAGCATGGCAATACGAATTCAAAAAGCACACCAATACCGACGATATTTTCAACGTTTAAAAAAATGTCTATATCTTCACATTCACGCGATTTTCACCATAGAACACTCGTATACACTGTCATTGAGTATCGTTCTTTCTCACTCAAACACACTTACGATGAACAATCACGAGTTATTTTCTCACGTCCGTTCAATTGTTTAACCGTTTCAACGGACATAACAAGAGAGCAATACACACGTATTATTATCCGTCCTTTGGTTCAATTATTTTCTTGTTCGTTAGCCCCGTTCCCTGACTCGATTCGGTTTATTTATTTATATATTTATTTATTTATTTTTATGTTCAACTTTTTCGCTGTCCGTTTTATTTGCAACTTTTGTTGTTGTTGTTGTTGTTGTTGTTCTCGGTTTTCCTTCGTTGTATTATACACTTGTATTTTATTTGTTCTCGATTTTTTGTTGTTTTCTTCTTCCTGTGTTCTGTTTTTAGTTTTGCTCTTATTTAACAATTTTTTTTTCTTTTCTACAATACTCGACTCATTTCAATATGCACTACAACTCTGGCGCTTAAGAATCACCAACGCCGCACATGTCAATAAATATATACGAAACAATTCTATTCGATTTATGTGAAGAGAATTCATCGATTTGTGTTGTGTTGCGACAAAAAACATGCGAATTCGAACAATGAGTATGCTCAAAACGGAAATACATACACGAAATTGCCATACACAAATCAGAGAGAATGAACTTATAATAAACAATGTCAAAACATAGTTATCGAAATGAATAGGTGTACAGGACAGAAAACCATCGACCGGAGAAAATAAAAGTTTCGTTATATTTTGCTGAGATCGAAAAAAAAAACGGTTTAAATTCAGTTGATACACATTTGTCACAGACACTATTCTGTCAACTGCCAATAATTGCGAATTGTTTTGTGGCCGACATGGATCATTCACAAGACCACTTGATCACTGAATTGCGTTGATCTTTGACCAAATTGATTATATTCGTGTTTTTGATATGAATTTTTTCGATTGACAAGGTAAACTTCTTTTAATTTCTTCCGCTTATTTGGATTCAGTTCAAGTTTTTTTTTCTGTAATTATGATCAATTGAAAATATTCAGTTGAAGTTGAATTTCTCGCGTGTCACTTTGTTCACAAAATTATTTCTGTTATTTTTTTTCGGAAAACAAAATTAATTTTTATCGAAAATAAAAATGAACAAAATTCGTTCGATGACACAGATTGCAGGTTACGTTTCAAATTTACGTATCGTACGTTTCGCTTGATATAACGAACATTTGTGGATTGAATTGTATGGTATAAATGACATCCGTCACTGTTGGCAGATCATTCTAAACTAACTGAATTGTAACGACTGCATAAATATTTTATACAGACACTAGGCTCTCCGTATATTTGGTGGATTGAAGCCGTGAACAACAACAGAGTGAATGAGAAGCGGCAAATGAACGAAACATACACGCATCATACTCGCTGGAGTTTGGTGTATATATGGCCAAAAGAGACACATGCATGTATAGACGTACCGAAATATATATGGAGCAAAGGGAAACTGGTGTACGGCGAACAGCAGTGCTGAAGAATAGCACAACGACAACGAACGAGTGGATGAAATGAGTGAAAATCAACAGAAGTAACGCAACCGATGAGAAACGCAAACACCGATACTGACGACTCAAAACAGGATGACAACAACAGTAACAAACGCTGCGTCAGTAAAAGGAGAAGAAGTAAAAAAAGAAGAAGTAGAAATATTGAAAAACACACGAAACAAAGTTTAGAGTCGAAACGTGTGGCACTGTGAACTCAGTGCACGGAATTGGTCTACCATCGGTAGTTGTTGTTCGGTTGTGTTCTACATACGCATGTGCTTACATTGAATGAAGAAACGAATTGGCGATTCGGCACGGCGGAAGCACATTGAGTGTGGCACAAGCAAAAGGCAACAAGAGGGCATCAAAAGTAATCGAAATACGTTGTAACCGCATTGGCTACCGTCAAACTCAATCACTCACTATGTAATCGGCAATATTTATCGAATATGCGTAATCGCCTGCATTGCACAGGTCTTGTTGTCGTTGTAGCTCTGTCTTTCGCTATTATAACGAGGAAAACAACAATTGAACAACCAAATAACCACTTACCAAACGATAATATAAACGATGAAGAGGGGCACAATTGCACGCGGCATCACACAACAAATGTACATACATATGATGCATTGTGTGCACGCTGCTCCAGCTACATCCATTTTCGCTCATTTTGGCATTGCCTTCGATGCACACGTAACCGCAATACAACAAATAATGCATTTATTACCCATAAGATTTGTTTTATTTATAAATTTCTATATGGATGTTGGTGTTGTCGGTGTTGCTTGCTTGTTTTCTATTTTTTTTTGTGTGTGTCTCAAATGCTAGATGAAGTTGCGTGGGCCAACAAATGCTGATGGTGATTCAACCCTTTTGCATATTTCATCCAGTGTTGAAAATGTTGTTGCTGTGTTTTGGTAATTTGCACACGGTTTTCATAGATGAACTTAGCAAACAATCTCATTTGTTGCACAACAATTGGAATATTAGTGTACAATGTACATGGATAAGGTGCAAAGAGAACGAAGAAAGAAAGAAAGAGAACCGGCACAGGTTTTGTTTTTCACATATTTCCTCTTTGTAGTTGGGAATTGCCGTCGCTTTTGATTCCTTGCCACCAAACCACGTACCACGCACAATGCAAACAACTATTATAATGACAAACAACATAACAAATGTTGTACTTCAGTCCACTCTAGATCTCTTTCTCTCTCTCTCTCTCTCTCTCTCTCTCTCTCTCTCTCTCTTTCTCTCGCAAATTATTGAGCCAAACAAACATTCAAATACACTCCAGACTGGAGCATATTTCATCTCTCTTTCCTCATTTCGCTTTTCTCGATTGCCAAGTCTCAATTTGGTTGGGGCCGTTTTAAATTACTCATCGACAATGATTGAGCGACATCTGCACATTTTCAAGCATTCAGCACGATTTACAAACACACACACACACACACTACGTACCCAAAGCGAACGCATTTCTAAGCTCCGCACACGCCAGATTCACATGCTGTCATATACAACGCATTCGCATCCATATAAATATATATTTGACTAAGGTAAATCCAAATTCTATAGAAGCAATATTGAAGGTAAACAAAACGAACGAACAAAAAAAAATGCAAGAGTTAAATGAATGCAAAAATGCGGCACGCAATCGAAATCATGAAATTTTCTTGTTAACATCATCCCTGGACAACATGTAACAATGCACAATGTCAAATGTTTAGTCATTAAAACTTTTTCCACACATGGCTCGCCACCCTTCACAAACATAAGTAAAAGGGAAACACTCAGGAGACGAAGCTGATGTGACAACAACATATATTGATGCAGGAGTCCTGCAACAGGAGAGTTAACCAACAGGAAAAAATGTGACAACTAATAAGAAGATATATTTGCACATGCCATGAAAAAATAGAAAAAAAAAAACACACACAATGCAAAATGGATAGAGAGAGAGAGCAAGAAAAAAAAAACGGAAAACCATCTAACCTACCAACGAGTGTCTGAAATCCCATTCGAAGCAACGAAAGAACTTGTTAATGAGCCAAGCAATGTGCGTTTTGTCATGTTTGATATTCACTTTTGTAATACGCACGGTTCATTAAGATATTTCAATGTGTTTATTTTTCTCTTCTCAAACATAATTCGTTCGTTTTTCTTTCAGCATTTTTTTTACAATTGTTACGCGAATCATGCAGGACGATTTGAGCATGGTTTTATTTTATTGCGTGCAAAAAATCATCGAACAGATGCACACAGAATAGTGTGTAGTGAATGCGCGCTTACGAATTTATTTATACAACATAAACGTAAAAAAAGGTGCCTTGAACTTGGATCATATTTGAGCATATGTTTGCATGCAATTTTAAAATATAATTTTGCTTTAAACATCACAACAAACCTGCAATTTAATCCATGTGATTAATCAAATCACATCGGTTTACACAGTCGATGCTTTTTCATTCTTTTTCTGCACAATTTTTTCAGCACTTGCATTCGAAGTTCGAACCAAAAAAAAAAAATAAAAATAAATAAATGTGTATTCAGCATACGGATTCAGTGCATATCGCTTGACAAAAGCGCTCAGATTAAAGGCTTCACATTTTAACAAAATATTCTCGTACGCACCACGCATCATAAATGCATCGAATGTACACCGTTCATTAAATTCTGTATTTCATCATTTGGCGGTATTGTTTGCGTTTTTAATTGTAGCACGGCTTCAATTTTGGTCTTTGGAAAAATCGGAACAGCACGCACCATGACTGCATTGTTTATTTAAACAATTGATCGTCCAATGAACAATCATTGTTTTGGATTCTTTTTTTCATGTGCACGTGTGAAATACGATCTTTATCCACTCTGGTATACAATATCAGACTATATTATATTGATATATTTTCAGCCAATCAGCTCAGCCAGATATCGTCAGGTGCTGAAATTGAGTGAAAACAATAGAATCGATTGGTATGGTTATGATTACACTTACATTGCTACAATCACTATAACAATCACTTGATGATGTCTGGCTGAACTGATTCATCTGGCTGGAAATATCTCAATATAATGTCTGTACAATATACGGATATGCATTGGGTTTTGGTTATATTTGATGGATAGTTGATTTTATGAATTACGAAGCGAATTGCATTCAATACAAAAATTGATTTGGACACTGGAATATGTTGAGCGCGGTCTCATTTTCACGCCCATTTCACATGATATTTTGGATCAATACCGCAAATATCCCATACAATACGATGCAAAATATTTACATTACCAAAACGCGATAATGTTATTTTTCAACACATTTCTATCTATTTTTTATGTTTATTTGCATATAATGGTGGGCAGAGTGGCTACTGCGGCACTATTCGATCACTGAAGTTATCAGCTGCATAGGTTGTGGTCAATATTTGAATGGGTAACCCATAGAACATCGTATCTAGTCGTAAGTTACTGTGTTCACCGTGCTTCGGAAGGCACGCTAAACAGTCGGTACCGTACGGGTGTGTGTGCACAACGAAGGTATGGCTTTCAGCACAGACACGTAAAATGGTAACCCATTGTCATATAAATTATGGAGAAAATCATAATGTTGGATACAATCGACTAATCTGCAAAACCAAACTGATTAACAGAAACCTGAATGATAAAAATCCTTATCTGAAGGCCCCACTAAGAGTTCAAGGAAAATAAAAAATAAAAAAATTTGTTTTGCATATGATATGAAACCATTTTATTCCAGAATTTGCAAAAAAATACAGTCTACGGAAGTAAAAAAAACCATTCTACCTTTCGCCATGTTATGATTTAATCGTCTTTGTCACTTTAATGTACCTGAACGTGGCGAACGTACATGATTTATTATATTTGCTACGTCTGTATATTTTACGCTTCGTTTAATTATTTTCTATTTTTTATTTTCTTATTCCATATTCGTTTTATGTATTTGCCGGTATCAGGGGGAAAAATATTATTTATACTTAACTTGATTTTATTCGTTTTTGATCATAGTGAGTGTCCCCTTGGTATGATTATTCTAAGTGCAATTTTATTTGTGCACAAATATAAAAATGCAAAAAAAAAACGAATTAAAAATACATAATGTGCTGAGAAATATGTGAGCAAAATAGTATACATCACAAAAATTGTGAAAAAAAACATTCAAGCCGAATAATAGCAAGAAAACGTAAGAAATTACGAGATGAAAGAAAGGAAATGCATAGAGTGAGCAAACGAGCGAACAATAACAATGTAAACGCATTCAAACGAATGGCAGGTGTTACGGCAGCCAGCCGTTTCATTCCATAATTTTCGACTAAAATACGCACGAAAAAGAGCAAGGCATCAGCGGCAATATCTTACTTATGTATCTTTATCTTTTACACTGTTTTCGTTGGTTTTCATACCATTTCTTCCGTTGTGATATTTCGTTCGTATTCTTCGATCATAGTTTTTGATTTGGGTGCTCGCTTTCGTACCCATTTATTTTTTCATTCTATGTTTGGCACATTTTTTCTCGTTCGTTTTCTCTGTGTGTGTTTTTTGGGCAATTTTTCTTTGTATACACTTTTATTTATGCGTTGAGATTCCGGCATGCAGTCAGTTTGGCTTGCATGGCTAATATCGATAGAACACTACCACTTGCAATTCATATGTTGTTGTTTTTTTTAATGTCCTTTTGATTTTAAGGTACAACTGACAAAAGTCGGATCATCTCATTTGGTCAACATGTTCTTGCGGACGGATAACACG